ATTGTACAGCCAGTAAAACATCATCATCACAATTTTTTCAAGGGGATTTCACAAGTGGCAAAGAACGAACCTATCAGTACAATGCCAAGAGTATGACAGTAACGACACCCCGACGAGAATCTATCAGGAGACCACTCACACAATGAACGACATGGGACATTTACAGGCAGAAGAGTCCTCTGCGTTTCCTATTAATCTATGTGTAGTCAGCCATTGCAACTACTGCAGTTTATCATTCATTACTACATGTAAGTCGGCAGGTCTGACATCTTCAGCTGCAATTTCTGGAATCGATAGAACTATTAGAACTAATAGAACAGATTCACTAATGTGTGCAATGTCAGGGCTAATCCTCTGCTGCTGCCTGCATACTTATAATTCTCACCGAGCTATTCTGTCAGCTGTGTTATCTTTTTATCATACAGTCATACTCATACATGAAAAGCCTAGAAAACCGATAAAAATGTGCCCGTCATAACATGAAAGGGCCTTAAAAATGAAAACAATGCATCACCAAGTTCATTTGACTATCCAGAGGATGTATCTGGTCAAATAGCCAGCAGCAACTGGTAACCCAATGACACCCGGTGTAAGTGAAAGACTTGGGTCTAATATATACTATGATACTTACGAAATTAATATGTCATTAACGGCGACAAGTTCAACCCCACAATTAATTTTATAATGATTATGATGATTGAATTATGCATCACATCTGATAAAGTGATAGTGATAAAGCTAAAGTGCTAAAGCAAGCCAGAAACGGATCCAATTCTAAGAACTAAGATGTGCCCGGTTGAACAAAAGTGATTGATTATCAAACTTTAGTGTTGATCGTTTTAAATATCACTGAAAATATTCAATCTTTATAAAGCACTCAGCTATTCTTGTACTGTCGATGGTTTGGCAACACTTCTATGGGAAATAAAAAATGAACTACAACTTTACATCCCGACTCTGACGACGCCACCAGATTATCTCAAATGTGAACTTCACGTATCCACTTCCGGAAGAGTTCACAAACTTCTTCCTCTTTTTCTTTTTCTGCCCATTATTTCCCAGTAGAGCATAGATCTTCAACCAACTCACACCAGATAGTTATATCGTCGTTATCACTTATATCTCAGCGTATCTCGTCCCCATCTTTTTAATTTCATTTATTACTTGCCGTGTGTGTTTTGGGGCTTGTTTTTGTGTGTTTTCATCCCTAATTCCTTTGACCCTGTGGAAGTAAAGGACCTATTTCCACACCTTTAGCCTTATTGTGCATACAGGGCTAGATCTATATTTTATGGACAAACGGCCCTTGATGGGTTATTATCAGCATCACGCCGGCCGCCTTTACTTTCTAGGATTGCACAAGGCTGGGTCAACCTGGAAGCCAGGGGATTCTAGTGCAAAGGCATTCTAATCATTTAGTTATCGTTTTTGGGGGGTCGAACGACCCTTTTACAGAGGTGGCCTAGGACCATCGGAAAACACATATTTATTGACGTTATAAAGTAGTAACAAAAATAATTGTATGTTTGGATATCACATGAGGAACTGTATTAAGGGGTCGCGGCATGAATAAGGTTGAGAGCACTGTTTTAGAGTGAGGATGTGGAAAGCAAGGAAAAACTACTACAATATTATCCCAATGCCCCCTCGCCCTTCTCCCCCCCCCCCCCCCCCCCCCCCCCCCCAAAAAAAAAATCTTTTAATGAAAGCCAAGAAAATGTATTAAAAAGTCCATGGTTAAGCATCAGCAAGAAAATCAAACTCAAAATTCCCCCATTTGGGTTCCGGTGCCCTGTTATAGGGAAAACAAGAATAGACCCACAGCTTACCCAAAAGCATGTCAACTAATTGGGAGCTTTGTTCGAAGTCGGAGAGCATCTGCCTGAGAGGCAGGGAGCCAACAGTCTGCACACAAATCTGTCAAACGGATGCACACTCAACAATCAGGTTTTAAAACATGACCTCAGGCCAGAAGTGGACGAAGAACCAGAACTTTTCGCCGGAGTTTACAGTCGGGAAACGCGAAGAAGAAGAAGAAGAAGAAGAAGAAGAAGAAGAAGAAGAAGAAGAAGAAACTCAAAACTGTAGTAACATGGATCTTTTTTGGAGCCACATACGGATATCAGCCGTGGTCATGCTCCAGTCCTTAAGTAAGACAATTTGATTTTTTTGTTGTTGAAATGCTGTAGAATGAAATCTCAGAATGCCATGGACAATGAAAAACAAAAGTACTGACATCCTAAAAGTTCCGAACATGAAGGAAGATTGGCAAGTAAACAGCATCTTGCTGCGGGAAATGAAATACTGTGGAACTTCGCTTAACGAGCATAATTCGTTCCAGGTTCATACTCGTTAAGCGAAACACTCGTTATGCGAAACAGTTTTTCTCATATAAATTAATTTAAAATACGATAATGTGTTCCATGTCGAAAAGAATACTCACAAAATGCTTTTACTTTACTTTACTTTTTCCTTCCACGTATGCCGCTAAGCGTTGTGGGAAGATGCAAGTTCCTGTCATAAGCAAGGCGGGCAGCATCTGATGTTCTGAGGCCATGCTTTTGGCAGGTTTCGGAGACCCCGTCAATCCACCGTTTCCTTGGTCTTCCTCTTGCCTTATATCCTGAGCTTCTTTGGTTGAAAATTTGTGATGTTATTTGGTCATTTTTCATCCTGGTTAGATGTCCAAACCATTTCATTCTTTGATGTTCTATGTAGTCTAAACATGGTGTAGTTTTGACAGTGTTTCTAATGTCTATGTTCTTTATCCTGTCTAGTCTGGTCTTATTCGCTGCTTTTCTTAGACATTTCATTTCACAGGCTTCTATTTTTCTTTCATGGGTCTTGTTGATTGTCCATGTCTGGCACTGGTAGCAGAGTGTTGGAATGAAGATGGTGTTTATGCTATGTATAACGTTTATTCAAAGAAAATTATATACATATTGTCAAGGAGAGTGAATCATCTTCATTTTGTCTTCCACTGCGGAACGAACCCACCTGGAACGCGAATTCGATTTGCAGAAAAAAAAGTAAAAGAATGTTGCTTTTCTGTTGCCTCCTCTTCTGACAAACTTTCCTCCAAAACTTCTTGCTGTGAAACATAATACAACTCCATAAGCTCTTGGGTGGTCAGTTCTTGGCTGTGCTTTTCCACAAGCTCTTCGATATCACTGTTATCCACCTACAATCCCATGATAGTGGCCAAAAAACACAGTGTCATTAACTACAGGTCCCACGGGTAACGTCTCGAATCCCTCAAAGTCACAAATCGGCAACGCTCTCCAAGCAGAAGTTAGGGTTCACTTGTAAATCCCCTCTCTTACCCCCCCCCCCCCCCCGCCTCCCCTTTGTCGATAATTTTGAGGCAGGGAACGATGAGGAAGTGATTTTTCCAAAACTCTTTGAGAGTGAGGTTGGTCCCTTCAGTCACCTAAAAACAATGCTGGAAGAGTGCTTTAGTGTAGAGCTTCTTAAAGTTAGAAATAACCTGCTGGTCCACGGGCTGGAGTAACGGAGTGGTGTTGGGAGGCAGAAACTGGATCTTGATGAACTTAAATTCTTCAGGGAGGTCATGTTGTAGGCCTGGAGGATCCATGTACATATTTCACAATATAACACAAGTTTGAGAAAATGTATGATCACAAGCGACACTACGATGCTACTGGAACGAGTGCTAAACACGGACTGATGTAACATGCGCACAATTCGAGACTTCCCCTCTCTTCGTCACTCGCTATGCGAAAAGTCGCTCGTTATTCGAGTCATTCTTTTACAATTTGATTTGCTCGTTATGCGAATTACTCGTTATGAGAGGTGCTCGTTAAGCGAGGTTCTACTGTATGTTGGCCCTGACAGTATCAAAAGCTCATTTGGGAAAAATAATAGAAGACATCAGTGTATCAGGAAGGAGAGAAAGGTTCCAGCCAGCACTAAGAGGGACTCAGGATATAAGGGACATTTTTTAAAGGAAAGTGCACGAGCCAGGAAAACTGATGAGGGATCTAGCTTCTTTCAGGCAGACCGTGAAGAGAGCGACGTTCTGAGCAAAACTTGCTACATGAGGATGATGATTATTGAAGAGCACACGGTCTCAGTGCAGCTGCATAGCAATCTCAGTTACAGTTACTATTAATACAACTGTGCTACCAATGCTAATGATGATACTATTACTGCTGCTATTACTTCTGCTTCAATTGCTGCTACTTGCTACTTTCACTGCTATTCTACTGCTGTTGTTATTGCTGCTACTACTACTACCCCTACTTCTACTACTACTATTACTGATGCTGCTGCTACTGCTTATACTACTAATGCTAATACTGCCAATAGTATTGCAATTGCTGCTGCTACTAATACTACTACTTCTACCACCATCACAACCACCACTTCTGCTACTACTGCTACTACTGATATTGCTGCTGCTGCTGCTGTTGCTACTACCACTGTTGTTTCTGGCGCTACCACTACTCTTACTACTTCCGCTATGACTACTAGAACTACTGCTACTACTTCTACTAATGCCGCTGATGATCCTACTATTTCTACTACTACTGCTGCTTCTACTACTACTGCTACTGAGACTACTATTAATGCAGCATCTACTACTGTTACAACAATGACGACTACTACTAATAATAATACTACCGTTGCTGCTGCTCCTACTTCTTTTTTCCTTCTCTTTTCGCCTTTCTCTTCATTGACCCACGTCGGCTTTGTTGCGCCCCTTCACAGATTAAAATATTATAGTTGCGCAATTTCACAGCGTAGTCATTGTCAGCATTGCTTTATTTAAACCAGACTAAACAAAGCTCCACTGGTTGTTTGTTTATCATTATTTTATTGCAAGGCTTGCATTGGTTGTTCATCAAGACAGTGTTACATAACAATCAAGTCCCATTATCAAGGATTCTCGTATGATCGAATAGTGCAGATAAACAAAGTCGGTTTGTTCGCACTGAGGTAAAACCTATATGTTTACCATACAATCCTGGGGCTAAAAAATGTTCGTCTGGAAGAGGGAAGAACAAGGCAGGTCCCAGATACCGCATTTAAAATATGATGACCAGAATATTTTGAAGCGAAGAAACAACGGACGCAACAAGAAGGGCCGAGGCCACGTCAAGTATGTGCGCTGCACAAACTGTGCCAGATGTGTGCCCAAGGACAAGGCCATCAAAAAATTTGTCATCAGAAACATTGTGGAGGCAGCAGCCGTGAGGGATATTTCTGACGCCAGCGTTTATGAAATGTACGCCCTGCCTAAGCTGTATGCCAAGCTGCTCTACTGTGTCTCCTGTGCTATCCACTCCAAAGTTGTGAGGAACAGATCCAAGGAGGCCAGGAAGGACCGAACCCCACCTATCAGGTTCAGACCTGTCAGGGAGGGACAGCCCCAGGGAGCTCCCAGAGGAAGCTAGAAAATGTTTCTGTGTTATTTCAATCAGTAAACACATTTAACATGTAATATATATATATATATATATATATATATATATATATATATATATATATATATATATATATATATATATATATTGAGGTGACAGCGGGGTATACTGCTAATATATTGAGCTGACAATAGGACGCCCCAAGCAAGTCATTTGGGTCCCCCCCCCCTTCTACCTTTTGTTTACTCGCCCCTTGGAAAAGATTGACACCGCTGGGATAAAAAGTTTAATTACTCTCTCGACAATGATATTGAAGCCTGAAACAAGTCACCAAGAAATTAACGAAACAATATGCTATTTAACTGCACTGAATCTAACTACAAGTATGTGTTCTATTCTCCAGGTTCATCTTCATCTTCTTCTTCGCCTTCTGGTTGTTCAACCACCTCTGGACTTTAGACTTATTCCATAACCTGAGTGTTGAATACACATCCGTTTAACACATCTGACTTATCTGTATGCAGACTGTTGGTTCTTTGCCTCTCAAGCAGATGAACATGACTTCTAAAAAAAACCTTATTTAGCTGGCTCTTACGACATGCTTGTTGGGAAGGCAGTGGGTCTATTTTTGTTTTTTCCCACAATGGGGCCCTAGAACCCACACGGGGACATTCTCGAGCTAAATCCTTGACATTTACAAAACGGGACATTTTAGTGATTTTTTGAAGTACCGGCGAGATGGCTGGGACAAACTTAAAAAAAAAAAAACGGGACTGTGCAGGTGAAAAAGGTGAAAACGGGAGCTATGGTGAACTTAGTTCAACCTCCAAATAAGTCCTAATTAGGGCACTAATAACGACTATATCAGAAAGGTGTAAGACGCAGTGCTATGCGTGGTATAAGTAAAGGACTCTTTTCCACGCCTTTAGGCGTATTGGGCATATAGGGCTAGACCTATATTTTTATAGAACAATCGGCACATGATGGGTGATGTGGTCAGCATCACGTCCACTGCCTTTACTTCCCAGGACTTCACCTGGTATCCACTCAAGGCTGGGTCGACCTGGGAGCCAAGGGATTCTAGTACAAAGGTATTCTAATTATATGGTTATCGGTCAAGGTAATTTCTAAAAATAACCAGGCCCCCGTCAGGGAGCGAACCCACGACTTTCCGATACGCAGGCAACCGTCTAGTCGTTAGGCCACGGCGACTCCCATGTGTGTTATGGACGAGATAAATAAAACACACCATGGAATCTAATCTAAAGGTTCATTGCTAAACAGCGGTTACAACATTCATTTGATAACGCTAAGAGCTCAAACGTGTTATCAGTGACAGCATATACTGCTCTAAGGGTGTCACTTCCGTGTACTCAAAGGCAAAGATATCACTGGCTCTTTAAGACATGTCTTAGTCAGTGATGACACTCTGAACATATGGGTATAGTTCCCCGTGTGAGTTTCGGGCCTCCAGGAAATCAAGAACAGACATACTGGCTCCCGAACAAGCAAGTCGTATGAGTATAGACTAATTTGGGGCTTCCTTCGAAGTAGGAGTACATCTGCCTGAGAGGCAAGGAGTCAATAGTCTGCACACAAATAAGCCAAATCTGTGAAATGGATGTATACGAAACACACAGCTTCTGGAAACAGACTCAAGTCCAGAGATGGACGAACATCCAGAGATTTTCGCCGGAGTTTACAGTCGGTAAAGGCGAAGAAAGCGTTATGGGTATTGTTGGAGGAAAAGATCCTTTCAACGTCTTGTGGTGCATCGAGGATATTTTATTTTTGTCGATTTGATTGTTTTTAAAATTGACCCCGTTCAATCCTGACTAAGTCAGCTTCGGTTATAAATATGGTCTTGTTTAATCTGCGTCGAGTTCAATGGCTTAAACGGTTTCCTGTGTCATTTATTGTTGCTTATTGTCCAAAAATGTGTGTGAAGTCCTATTTGAACATGCACGGGTTCCCTCTTTTCGACCAAATAAGGCTTTCGTTTTGCAAATCAATTTTCCTGGGTGTGTTTCCTGGTTTTAGTATGTGATTGTTACTTATAATTGGGTTGCGGTTGTGTTATTTCTGAGGTATTGTGTCCTGTTGTCTGTCCTTG